GCGAGGGATCTTGGCCACATTTTTTTACGTGACCCACGGCCCCACAGAAATTCAGACAACGTGATTTGGGGACTCTAGCCGGGCGGTTCCCCCCCCCCCCCCACCCTCGTGCGGACAGTGACATCTTCCAGTAAGAGGTAGACAACAATATACTGTAACATAAGAAACTGGAACGCAGGGAGCAGCGCACTCGATCCTCGTAGCCTGATGGCCCCGCCAGGGGGCCGGCGGATTTATCTGTGTGTCCCAGGTCCCCTTCGCCCATGCCTGGGCGACCAGCTGACCGATCTTCGGGCCGGGCGAAAGGGAGGGATAGCAAAGGGGGGGTTTTGAGAATCAGCTTACGTAGCTGATTTTCCCGGTGCCGGGAGGCGGCCTCGTATCGAGGAATGGGCCATTCGGTGGGGCCGAAGCCAGCTGCATGCAGCAAATTTCGTACCCCCCCCTTTCCCAATCCCCCCCCCTCTTCGTCCGGCCCGAGATCTGGCGAGCTCCGTGCCCGCCTGGCCGCGTGGCCGCGCCGCCTCGGCCACCTGCGCCCTCGGCCTGCGTCGTCCGATGGGGTCCTCCTCCTCCTCCTCCTCCTCCTCCTCCTCCTCCTCCTCCTCCATCGCCTCCTCCTCCTCCTCCTCCTCCTCCTCCTCCTCCTCCTCCTCCTCCTCCGCCTCCCTCTGGGCACCCCTCGCCTGCCTGGGCCGGAGGCCCGGTCTCGGGGCGGCTCGTCCTCCAGGGGCGCCGCTGCGCTCTCCTGCAGCTGTGGCCGCGTGCTGGGGTGCGGCGTCTGGCCCTCCTGCCGCTCCTCCCGCTCCCTGGTTGCTCCTGGTGCGTGTGTGTGTGTGTGTGTGTGTGTGTGTGTGTGTGTGTGTGTGTGTGTGTGTGTCGGTGTGTCCCCTGTTGCCTATCCGCCGGAACAGTCGCCCTCTGCCCAGCCGCCGACGCAAAAGTGTGTGTGTGTGTGTGTGTGTGTGTGTGTGTGTGTGTGTGTGTGTTTGTATTTTGTGGAGACTGCAGCGCCGCTCGATGATGCGCCGTTGGTGCAGCCTGCACAGTGGGGCCCCTCCATTTCTGTGCGCTTCAGCTGCGGCCTCGGCTTCGCTTGTGGGGGCGCGTCAAACGCCGTCGGGCCAGCTCACCCGAAGCGGCTGTCAGCGCGCGCGGGTGGCGCTCCCTTGCTCCCTGACCCTGGCCAGGCGGATGTCGCCGGCCCGCCCGCGCTACACCGAGGGCAACCCCTCAAACAACAGACACGCACACGCACACATCCCCACGTCAACACCCACATTCTTGTTTCTTATTGTTATGTACCCCCACCTACCTCGTATTCCGGCCGATAGCAACCCGATCCGGGACCTCCCATCCGGACTGTAAAAAATCAATGCGAAGTGGCCGTTTTTCTTCTCAACATCATGTTTCTTGTCGTCGACGATGCGAAAAGCGTGGCAGGAATGGGATGCGGCGCACATCGCGCGCGGCCGTCAATCTGGGCCCGCCCATCCTGGCTGCAAAAGATCAATACAAAGTCTTCGTTTTTTCCTCTCAGCATGGCCTGCCTTGTCGCCGACGGTGCGAAATATGTGGCAGCAATGGGACGCGGCGCACATACGGGACGCGGCGCACATCGCGCGCGGCCGTCAATTCGGGCCCGCCCATCCTGACTGTAAAAAACCATACGAAGTTTCCGTTTTTTTCCTCTCAGCATGGCTTGCCTTGTCGCCGACGGTGCGAAATATGTGGCAGGAATGGGACGCGGCGCACATCGCGCGCGGACGTCCATGCGGGCTGCGGGCCCTCCCATCCTGACTGTTAAAAAAAATACAGAGTTGCCGTTTTTCCTTTCATCTCGACGATGCGAAATGCATGGCAGGAATGGGGCGCGGCGCACATCGCGCGCGGACTTCTGGGGCAACCCCAAGGCGGGAGGGGCCACCTTATTGCGAAGGCCTGACGGCCGGTGCCGCCGACCCTGTTCGCAATGCGCAGCAAGAGGCACGGGCTGTGGGATGGTTTTGGGGAACGGGGAGAAGGACGAGAAGGTGGGGGAGGGAGGTGTCGTATCTGACCCGGGACTTCCCCGGGACTCCCCCGGGACCCCCCCCGGGACCCCCTCTCCCTCCCCCGGCGGGGAAGGGAAAGGGAAGGGGCTTCCCTTCGACTCAATTGCGACGTTGCTCAAGGTCGGTACGGGGGGGGGGCGTCGTATCTGACCTGGGGGGGGGTCGCTACCGCCCCCCGCTACCCCCCCCTCGCCTCCCGGCGGGGGAGGGATCAAAGGGAAGGGGCTTCCCTTCGACTCAATTACGAGGTTGCTCAAGGTCGGCTTGGCTGGAGCCCAGGGGAAGAGGAGTCCCAGGGGGGGGCGTCGTATCTGACCCGGGGGGGGGTCCCCCCCACCCCCCCCCCCCTCCCGGCGGGGGAGGGATCAAAGGGAAGGGGCTTCCCTTCGACTCAATTACGAGGTTGCTCAAGGTCGGCTTGGCTGGAGCCCAGGGAAAGAGGAGTCCAGGGGGGGGGCGTCGTATCTGACCCGGGGGGGGGGTCGCTACCCCCCCCCCCCTACCCCCCCCCCCTCCCGGCGGGGGAGGGATCAAAGGGAAGGGGCTTCCCTTCGACTCAATTACGAGGTTGCTCAAGGTCCCAGGGGAAGAGGAGTCCCAGGGGGGGGCGTCGTATCTGACCCGGGGGGGGGGTACCCCCCCCCCCCCGGCGGGGGAGGGATCAAAGGGAAGGGGCTTCCCTTCGACTCAATTACGAGGTTGCTCAAGGTCGGCTTGGCTGGAGCCCAGGGGAAGAGGAGTCCCAGGGGGGGGCGTCGTATCTGACCCGGGGGGGGGGTCGCTACCCCCCCCCCCCTCCCGGCGGGGGAGGGATCAAAGGGAAGGGGCTTCCCTTCGACTCAATTACGAGGTTGCTCAAGGTCGGCTTGGCTGGAGTCCAGGGGAAGAGGAGTCCCAGGGAAAGGGAAGGACAGAGACGACGAGTACAAAAAATGACGGAGATGACGGCTCGAACGGAAAAGCCCCTCACACACGCCGACAGGTGCATGGCAGGAATGGGGCGCGGCGCACATCGCGCGCGGACTTCTGGGGCAACCCCAAGGCGGGAGGGGCCACCTTATTTGTCAGAAGCAATGCCATGCTGATTTTCGCTTGCCCACATAGCTGTTCTTGTCGTCCACCCCGCAAAAGTGCATGGCAAGAATTGGGCGCGGCACACCCCCCCCCGCTCGAAGTGAATGAAATGACCTTCTCGCTTGGGCGCCGAGCGAAATTTTCTCAAAGTTGCGCTCCCGCTTTGGCTCGGCGCACGTTGTTAGCTCGCCAATTCATTGGGCGCCGGGGCGTTCCAGGAGGCCCTGGGGTGACGAATGCCTGGGAGGTTTTTGCTTGTTCAGGCTCTTGGAGGGCCTCCTGAGGCTCCCCGCGGTTTCTTGGCGCTACGGCCGTCTGGAGGCCATCTTGGGCGTCTTGGAACGATCTTTCGGCGACTCAGGGCTACTACTACTACTACTACTACTACTACTACTACTACTACTACTACTACTACTACTACTACTACTACTACTACTACTACTACTACTACTACTACTACTACTACTACTACTACTACTACTACTACTACTACTACTACTACTACTACTACTACTACTACTACTACTACTACTACTACTACTACTACGACTACGACTACTACGACTACGACTACGACTACGACTACTACTACTACGACTACGACTACGACTACGACTACGACTACGACTACTACTACTACTACTACTACTACTACTACTACTACTACTACTACTACTACTACTACTACTACTACTACTACTACTACTACTACTACTACTACTACTACTACTACTACTACTACTACTACTACTACTACTACTACTACTACTACTACTACTACTACTACTACTACTACCACTACGCGCCAGCACCCAGTTGCGCCAGCATTGTTTCTTATGTTGTGGGAGGGCGGAACGTGTCCGTTGTTCCTTTCAACATGGCCAGTCTTGTCGTCGACGATGCGAAATGCGTGGCGGGAATGGGACGCGGCGCACATCCCGCGCGGACGTCAATGCGGTGTCCTGGGGTATCCTCCACTCGCACTGAAATGCCCGCGCAGTCCCCAGTTGTGCCATCACTGTTTCTAATGTTGTGGGAGGGCGGGTGGGAATGGGCATGCCATGCTTCACTCGCTCGAGCTGGCTAGCTTGACCCACACCCACACCCGCACACACACACACACCCACACCCACCCACACCCACACCCATACCCACACCCACACCCACACCCACACGCGCACACACTCTTTTTCCTCTTCCGGCGCTGTGTTTCACGAGCGCGTGATGGGTTAACTGGATGCTTCAGCATACATTGCAGACTCACTGATGTCGGATGAGCTCGAATCGAAGCCGTGAAATCCCTTGATGGGGGTGCAGGCGACGACGAGCGAAGCAGAGACATGCAGCGGCCTGGCACGCGCGTAGGCATGTAGAGAGGGTTACGCGAGTGGGTGGATGGGGGAGGGAGGTGGATGAGGATGGAAGGGCAACAACAACAACTCCAACACCAACAACACCAATCACACCATCACCAACAACAACAACAGCAACAACTTGAACAACAACTTGAGCAACACCAGCAACACCAGCAACATGAACAACAACAGCAACAACAGCAGCAACAACAACAATAGCACCAACAACACCAATAACAACATCAACAACTGCGCAGACAAACACTTTCCTCGGAGGTCCGCCCCGGATTCCTGCGTTGGCGCATGCCGATTCTTCCTCCTCCCAACGGAGGGGGGATGAGGAGGGGCAAGGGCGCGCAGTGCGTGTTGTGGCGCCAGTTTTGCCAGCTCGTTTGCGCCTTTTCCGGCACCCAGCCGTGGGTGCAAGCTTGGAGCTGGAGAAAGATGGTCAGAGCGGAGGGAGGTGGGTGAAGGAGGACACGAGCAGGGCGGCGCACCACCGTCCCATGGCCGGCAGGATCCCCGTGATCTTCACCGCGCTCCCGGACTATTTGTGCAAGGTCTGCGAGGCCCGGGCGACCAGAGATCCCCCCCTCTCCTCTCCTCTCGTCTTTTCTCCCTCCTCCATCCTCTTCCTCTCTCCTTCTCCCTCCTCCAGTTCTCCCTCCCTCTCCCTCCTCCTCCCTTCCCTCCTCGTCCTCGACCGTCTCCCGGTGCACCCGTCGGCGGCGCGCAGAGGGGGGTAGGCGGAGGGGGGGAAGGCTTCTTCGAAGGAGGCCGCTTCTCAGAAGGCGCCGGCCTCGCAATTACTCCGACACGGCCCGCGCATTCAGGGAAACGACCGCCTCCTAAGAGAGCTCCCCCCCTTTCCGTCCCGAGTCGTTCTTGGACGATCCCGAGACCCAGCGAGGGCTCCCGGAGGCCGAAAACAGCCCCAAACCGCCCGCTCCAATAATGTGATCGTTATTTTATGCATTGCTTTGCCGATCGGCTCTGGCCCTCGCACCCCCCCTCCCCCCCCCTGGAGTGGATCTTGGCTGTTTTTGGCGCCTGTTTCGAGCAGGTGGAGTCCCTCCCCCATAATGGACGCATTGCTGCAAACAGTCGCACTAAGCAGAGGTCCGGAGCCAGACCCCCCCCCTGGCCCCCCCCTTCCGCCCAATGTCGAAACGCCGAACCCGAATAAAAGATAACAAAACGCTCACCAACTGTTGTGGAGCGTCGGATCGCTGAGAGCCCTCGACCAGTCCTCTCCTGTTGCAGGGCAGCGGCGCCGCTTTCGCGGGGAGGGCCCCCGGGGGCCGGCGGCATCTCGCTCGTCCAATTGGGGCGCGGCTCGGGCACGGCGCCGGCACGGCTGCGGGCTCTCGGGCAGAGAGCGCCGGCGCTCTGTGGGGGCGGGGGCGGAGGGTTTCTCCGAATGGCTTAGGCGACCCGTCCTCCTCCTCCTCCTCCGCCTCCTCCTTCTCCTGCTCCTCGTCCATCTCCTCCTCCTCCTCCTCCTCCTCTTCCTCCTCCTCCTCCTCCTCCTCCTCCTCGGGTCGCCTAGGGCTCTGGGGGAGACCGTGCAGGCGGGGGGTCGGCGGCGGGGCGCCCTCTGGGCTGCTCGAAGCCCTGGCTTCAAGCGGTGGTGAGACATGCTTGCCTCTGTGCCCACCAAAGAAACTCCTAAGGACCTTTTGTGGTCTGCCCGGGAGGTCGAGCATTTCTGGCGTGGGCTGCCCTGGTTCAGCACATAGCGGCATTATGTTCTAGGAGCATGCCGTGGTAAGCCTCTAAGAATGCCGGGACGGTCGGTCCCTGCTGAATAACTCGAAAATTGGAGCATTTACACTACCAGTGGTGAGTTTTTTTCAATCCCACGACTTTTTGAGGGTCGGGGGCGACGTCGGGTTGGTGTGGTGGATACTTTTTGTTTTGCTTCCCGGGGAAGCAATGAACAATTTCTACACACCAGGGTTCCGTACACACCAGGATCCGCTTTTCTGTGCAAGTTTCAGTGCAGGGCCAGAAACAGCGTCGGTCCCAGACCCCCGACGTCGTGTTTTTTCACAATGTCGACCCCCAGAGTTCTGGACCGGTTTGTCGTGCTGCGCCGTTTTCTGACGCTCCCGAGGCCTGGCGAGGGCCCCTGGAGGCAGAAAATTGCAACAAAAACCTCCCGCCGTGATTTTTTTCACAGCGCGAGGAGGTCTGGGGTGTAAAATGAGATCGGTTCCCTATTGACCCCTACCCCAGCCCCAGCCCTGACTCCAACCCCGAGTCTCCACTCAGATCGTGCATTACCTGCTCCGCCTTCGAGAAACACCAAGTCATACCACGCGCCTCCTCGTCAAGCGCCCTGACCGCTGCGGGCCGTAGCTTGGTATCGTTTGGTATCTCTTGGACGCGAGGCTGGTCAAAAAGCGAGGTCGGTACCTCCTATCCACGGCTCTCGCTCGGCCTTCGCCCCCGGGGCGAAGCGCAGCAGCTGCCCCGCCCCCCGAACAATCAATCCGCGGATGCGAGAGGCCACGCTGGGCGACGACAGCAACTCGGACGCCGGCGTCTTCACCGGCACCCTGACCTTCGGCCCCAACCAGGTCTCGAGTACAGGGGTTCGACTGCAGACCCAGACTCCCTATGGTCATGAACCATGACAGGAGGTGTTTCCGGATTTTCTGCCTCTGGAGGCCCTTGCCAGCCCTCGGGACCGTCAACAGAACGTCTCAGGATGAAAAACCGGTCCAGGGGAATGTGTCGAGACCTCTGAGGGTCGACGTTGTGAAGGAATCATGACGTCGGGGGTCTAGGGAATTGATTCGTGCCTGAAGTTTGTGATCTGTCCAACGATGCTACGCGGGAGAAATGCGTCGCGTGCTCCAAAGTAATTTGTATGTTTCCACCTTCTGCACATGTGGTTTGCAGGTTCGACGAGCGAGTCGCTTCAAGGGGTGAATCAATTCTTAGGGGAGCGAACAACGACATAGACAGAACAACTCGGAGGTCCGCGCGGATTCCTCGGATCCGCGCTGGAACCCCCTGGCGGCGCCTCCGGCGCCGCCCCCGGCGCGCTCCGCGCGCCAGGGGGGGGGTCCAGCGCCGATCCGAGAAGTCCGCGAGGACCTGCGAGTTTTTATGCTAATGCCATTGCTCGTTCCCTGATTTTCTGGGGTGGATCACTTCTGTTCTGCACGCGAAATGGGTACGGAAAGAATGGGTACAATGCCTAACAGCAGTTCCTGTTCATTTGGAACAGGACTCGCTGTCCGCGCCGCTGTTGGTTCGGGACAACATTTGCTGTTGGGCATTGTGCCCATTTTCTCCGTGCCCATTTCGGGCGTCCGAATCTGTGGCCGGTGTCTTGGTCGAAGGTCTACGGCCAGGCCTACGAGGCGACCATCAAGGAGCGCCGCGGCGTCGCGGGCGGGCCGCCCCGCCCAGTTCTCGCCGCGCCCGCCCGTCCCTGGGAGAACATCGGCCGCGGTGGGCCGCGCGGGGGGCGGCGTCGGGGGCAACCTGCGGGGTTGAGTCGGGCATGTCCCTCTACAGGAGGAATGCCCCCAAACAGTCCAACAAATAGTCCGGGGACGATTTTCGTTGGCGGGGAGGGGGGGGGACATTTCCGGGTTTTCGTGGCCTGCTTTTGATGTTTCGTTCAGAATACGCCTGTCGGAGGATCTGCCCGACCCAACTGTAGGGGGGGGGGGTAGCACCCAGACCCCCTCGTGCTGTGACAAACTGCACGACGGGAGGCGTCGTGCCTGGCGCCCAGGGCCCCCAGCCCCCGCGCCGGACGCGGCGGCGCCGCCGAGGAGCTCCGGCCGCTCAGAGGCGGGGGCCCGCCTCTCCCAGACCCTGTCGGGTGATGAAAAAAGGATTGCGAGAAATTGTTCATGATTTTCGGCCTCCAGGGGCCCTCGCCGGGCCCCGGGACCGTCCCAAAACGGCTCAGTATGGAAAGAACAATCCTGGGGAAGGGGTCCAGACCTTTGGGGGTCGACGCTGCGAAAGAGTCACGACGTCGGGGGTCTGGGCACGCCAGTCATGGAAAATATGTATTCTTGGATCCCCAGATCCTCCAGGCCGCCTAAATGGGGTCCGAGTAGACGGGGCTGGAGGTTAGCGCCGCATCGCCGATGCATCGCCTATTCGGCTCGATGCGGAGCCTGATTTGCTCCGCGCTGGCGTCGCCGATGCATCGCCGACGTCGCCGCTGTATCGACGATGCATCGACCATGCATCGACGATGCGGCGCAATCCTGCGACCCCATCTACTCGGACCCCAGCCATCCAGGACGCCTCTAGATCCCAATCTACTTTGCAGCCGCCCTCCTGCCTCCAGAGTCGAGTGCTCTTTCCCTCGCTCCTCCGCTTCCAGGGGCGGGGGCGGAAGCCTCATCTGCGTCCAACGACGTCCTACTTCGTGTCTCTACCCGCTTCTGCCGACCAACGGATGTGCATCGGCCGTTGCGGGCCTTGGAAACGGCAGGGCAGTTTTTTCAACGTTTCCCCCAAACATGTCCCTTGAAAATGGAGACGGCAAAAAAACGGCGACCAGAAATCGTAAAAACGGCTTTAGGATTGGAGCTGGAGCCGGAACTGGTCAAACAAACGGCGACGGAACCGGTAAAATAACGGCGTCGGAACCAGCCAGAAAACGGCAAAACGGAACCGATAAAAAACGGCCCTGTCGTTTCCAGGGCCCACTAAGGTCCAACGACGTCCTACTTCATGTCTCTACCCACTTCTGCCGACCGACGGACGTGCATCGGCCCCCAATCGCTCATTCCTGGCCGATCCGGGGTCCGATCGCTCACCCTCCTGCCCGGGAGCGTGCGGCTGCGCAATCGGGGGCCTGCCGCCCGCTGCAGCGGCGATGCATCGCCGAGTCCAGGTCGACGTTCCCCCCCCCCCCACACCCACGAGCTGGTCCCCAGATGATGTTTCGAGTAGGGGATCGACTACATAATTGATTTACCCCAGAGTTCATTCTCTCGTCGGATCCACGGAGGATGCCAAACCTGATTTTCTTGCCGAACCTACGAACGCGTGCGAAGATTGTTCAACAAAATTACTAGCCTTCGACGTATTTGTTGCAGATTCGGCGAGAATGTCAATTCCTGGGTAAATCAATTCTGTAGTCGATCCCCTGCTCGAGAATTTTCGGGTCGTAGGCCCGGGCCCCCGGCGGCCGTGCTCGGCACGATCTCCGGGGGCAGGCCTCGGGGCGCGCGCTCGGCGAGGCTCAGGCCCCGGAGGGCACCCCGGGAGGCTGGAGAGCCGCGGAGCGCCGACGCGGCCTGCTGTGATCCCAGACCCCCTCGCGCTGGACCTCGGTTGGGAGGTTCTCCATGCTATTCTTTTGGCCCCCGGGGGCCTTCGCCGGGCCCCGGGGGCGTCAACAGAACCGGCTCAGGACGAAGAGCCGGGACAAGGGGTCCAGGCTCCTGGGGGGGTCCCGCCGCGAGAAAAGCACGGCGTCGGGGGGTCTGGGAACCCGGCCCCCCGACCCTCGACCCCGGCCTAATTTTTTGAGTCGTTTTCAATTTGTCGTCCAGAACCCGCCCGTAGGGGGACATGCCAGGCCTAAGGCTAAGGCTCCCCCTGAGCCAGCCCCCCCTCTCCATGCTCCTCCGGGAAGGCGGGCGGGAGCGTCGGCTTTTTTCGGGTTGGGAGGTCGCGCGGGCCCAGGACCAGGGATATAAGTCGCTCTGCAGAGCGTTCCGAGGCACGCTCTCGGAGCGTTTCTCGGAGCGCTGCAGGAGGGCCGCGGCGCCCGCTGTATCCTCCAGAGCCCCTGGCTCTCAGAGATCCCCGCTTCATCCAGGATGGCCCACAAGGGGGCCCAGCGAAAAGAGAACGGTGCAATGGATTCGGTGCAATCGATTTGTGGGGTTGCATTATATTTACAAGACTGCAGTGGCGCTTCGCGCCATGCACCTTGGTCCTTGAAGTTTGGTATGCAGGCGGAATGGCAGGAAGGTCAAGCCGACAATTTAGCGATAACTCCTTGTTGCCTTTTCCAGCATCGCCTCTAAAATGATGTTATTCGTTATCCTTCCTCCATGCTTATTTTTCCTCGTTCTCGCCATACCCTGCGCATTTTCCCCATCCTCCTCAGCTCTTTTTGCGAAAGCTCCTCCTTGGAGAGCCTCTGGGGACCACACAAAAGTTTCAGGCTTTCTTAAAGCCTTCTGGAGATCTCCTGGGCGTGTTCTAGATTCTAGAGGTTCTGGGGGCTTCCTCGGGCCACCCTGCCTCCAACCGTGGTCTCCCTGAACGACCGGGGCACGATTTGGAATGCTTCGGAGGGTGTCTTGGGGCCGTCTTGGGCCGCCATGGGGCTCTCTTAGGGCCATCTTTGACCCCTGTTGTGCCGTTTTGGGGCTCTCTTGGACTGCCTGGAAGCCCTTTCGGATGGTTGTGGGGCGATTTTGCACCTCCCAGGCGGCTTCGGACGCCCAGAAGACTGCCGTATTGGAGCGTCGGGAAGCCGAAAAGATGAGAACCCCAAAATTCACCAAAAACCCACAGACAATCAACGATTTTTGCCTCTTGGGGCCTTCTTGGGAGTGCTCTTGGAGGCTTTTTGAGGCCTTTGGGGCCGTCCTGGAGGCCTCTTGGGCCATCTTGAGGTCACGTCGGTCACTCTTGGAGCGCTCTTGTGCTGTCTTGGGGGTCTCTGGGACTTCTCCGATGACCCCCCCTGATCGTCCTAGGTGTGCTGGGAAGGCTTGGCAAAACGCCCTGCGAGGCCCGGGGGGCCGCTTCGAGGCCCGTCCGGAGGGTCCCAAAGCCCCAGGTCCGGGGAGTGCGTTTTTTGTTTTGGGGGGGGGGGGGCCCGCCCGGGCTTATACAAATGTAGGAAGAGGAATATATGTGTGTAAATATATAGATATATGTACACACATATATATATATATATGTGTGTTCCCCAATCAGTGCTTGCACTGAAGGGGTCCTAGCGGAAGTTGGAGGATTCGGCGAATGTTCCCCGCCGACTTTGGTGGCAGGCTGGGTTCCCGGGTTCCCGGGTTCCCGGTTCTGGGTTCCTGGGTTCCCGGTTCCGGGTTCCGGGCCGATTTCGAAGGGCGGCGAGGTTCCCGGGTTCCCGGGTTCCTGGTCGATATTCTTATCGATCGGTCTCACCGTCGATCTCATTACCGACTTCTCGATCGATCTCACCATCGATCTCACAATCGATCTCACTATCAATCTCACAAGCGATCTCACTAGAGATCGCATGAGCGATCTCGCGATCGATCTCACTATCGATCTCATTGACTCGATTTCACTCTCGGTCTCACGATCGACCTTACAATCGTCCTCACTATCGATTCCACTATCGATCTCATTATCGATCTCAAGATCTTTAGTATCAATTTTCAAATCATTCACCGATTGCGTTTTATCAGGTGTAATATTTTAAACATGTATATGTATATTCCTCAATCAGAGCTTGCTTCTGTAGGGGTCCTAGCGGATATAAAGCTGAGGTGAGGTGAGCGGCCGATTTCGGTGGCCGGGGCCGGGTGCCCGGGTGCCCGGGGGTGCCCGGGTGGCCGATTTCGGTGGCCGGGCCCGGGTGCCCGGGTGCCCGGGTGCCCGGGGGTGCCCGGGTGCCCGGGGGTGCCTGGGTGCCCGGGGGTGCCCAATAGCCCAATAACCCAGTAGCCCCATAGCCCTATAGCCCTATAGCCGTAGAGCCCTGTAGCCCTGTAGCCCTATAGCCTTATAGCCCTATAGCCCTAATATAGCCCTATAGCCCCATAGCCCATACAGCTCTATAGCCCCGTAGCCCTATAGCCCTATAGCCCTATGGCCCTATAGGTCACAGTCCTATAGCCCTATAGCTCGATAGCCCTATAGCCCGATAGCCCGATAGCCGTATAGCCCTATAGCCCAATAGCCCTATAGCCCCAACAACAAGCTGATTGGGTTTTTTCCGGTATCATAGATAAACATATGTTTGGTGGGTCGTTCAAAGTCTTCCGATGCGCACATGTATTGCTTGATTTCCGCGTGCAGTGTCTCAGTTGCAAGACGCAATGCAATACAGCTCTCTGGCGCAACAGAACTGCAATCCAACGGCCTTATTGAGTTTCTTGTGCCACCCCCTTTCAGCTGGACCCCCTATCCGGGCCAACCAGAGACTGTTCGGAAGAGGGGCATGTGAGGGGGGGGGGGGGGCGCACTGGCCCGCTCCAACACGAACACCCGAACCCTCCAAAAGTTGACGTCCCTTGCGAGCACATTGGGCCCGCCAAGTTCATGCAGGTCCGGTTCTGTCCAGGCCCAGGGTAGGGGGTACTGGGCGGGGTAAGCCCTTCCCCGAAGGGGAAGAAGGGAGGTGGAAGAGGAAACTCCCTGGACCACCTCGTCCCAGAGGGGGCTGGTGGGAGTCATCGTCTCGGGGAGGGGGGCGGGGGCGTGGGGGGGTCTCTTCGAAGGGGGGGGGGGCGGCGTGCGCCCCTCCCCGAGACTTCAGGAGTACCGGGTCTACTTCGTCGATGCCGCCACGGGGGTGCTCGCCTCGGAGGTGCTGGCCACCGTCGGGGTGGACTCCCTGGCGCCTGTGGACTCGAGCTGCTGCGACGGCGGCAGGTACCAGGCGAGCAGGGGGCCAGACAGTGACTCGACGTTGAGTGCGCTTCTCCGACTGCGCATAACATGAAGTCGGGCATGCCTCCCTACAGGATGAATCTTCAAACATAGTTTTGAAATAGTTTTGGGGCGATTTTTCTTCAATTTCCGGTTATTTACAAATATGTTTGGATTATTCATTCAATTCCGTCGCTCATTCCGCTCTTTAGGGCCTCTTGGGGGCCTCTTGGGGACCTCTTGGGAGTCTCTTGGGGCTCCTTGGCGGCGTCTTGGGGGCCCCCAAGGCCTCTTGGGGAACTCTAGTGTGCTTCTTGGGGCGGGTGGGGGGTAGTCGATTGCGGCTCCCCCCTTCGGAGGCCACGATCCTCGTGAGGGGTGTCGAATAATTGCCCGGTCCAGGGTCTCCTCCCAGGACTCGCCCGAGGTACTTTTCGCCCAGGGACCCCCAGGGGCCGCCCCGCGCGCGCGAGTTAGAAATATTGTTAACCAGTTACCGGAGATCTTAGCACGCCTCTGGCCCGTTGGGCCAGCGAATTTGTCATTGTTCATCCAAGATCCTCCTGTAGGAGGAAAGGAGGACATGCCCGACGTGAGCATAACATGATGGGGTCTTGTTTGGAGCTCCAGGTCGGCTGCACGCGCCTGCGGATCGAGAGGGCTCAGATCGCGGGCGCACCTGCCTTGATGTGGAGACTCTTCTCCGCTCTCCCTCGAAGATGTCCGGGAAGTGGCCCGCCCCTCCGCGTGTTGTCTTGCTACACCCGACTTTGTCATTTGACCTTGTCTTTCTGGTGTCTCGAAATGATGCTGCCGCTGCTGCGTTGGCCTTGTTTTCCCTTGCCCTTTTCCCTTCTCGACCATCTTCCCCCCGCGCCCCGAACACCGCCCCAGAGGATCGCAGACAGTGGTGTGGACCTGCATGTGTGCATGTATACGTGTGTACACCTATGTATCCTGTAGTATGTAATACGTGCATGTGTATGTGTATGTGTGTATGTGTGTATGTGTGTATGCGTGTATGTGTGTATGTGTGTATGTGTGTATGTGTGTATGTGTGTATGTGTATGTGTATGTGAATGTCAGTGTCTGTGTATGTTTATGTTTATGTGTATGTGTTTGTTCATGTATATATATATATACATACATGTATTTGTATCTGTATCTCTATATGGATGCGCGCATTCCCCCCAAAAAGTGCTTGCACGTAGGGTATCATATCTCTTTTCTAAGGAACTGGGCCTGCGCGGCGGTCTGGTGGCCAATGTGGCCGCCGTCGCCACCCCGTCGCCGCCCCGTCGCAGTCCGTCGCCTGGGCCTGCGGGCCGCTCTGTCCGCCGTGTGGAAGTCGTCGACGCCTCGTCGACGCCCGCCGCCGTTTAGTCGCCGCCCGCTTTGCATTGCTTTGCATTGCTTTGCATTGCTTCGCATTGCTTCGCATTGCTTCGCATTGCTTCGCATTGCTTCGCATTGCTCTGCATGGCTTTGGATTGCTTTGCGCTAAGTTGCATTATCTTGTGTCATTGTATCACAATCGCACTGCTTTGCAATCGCATTGCATGCCAGCGCGTAAGATACACCACATCGATTGCCTCACATAGCTTACACCACATATGTTACCCAACGTGGATACCACACAGTGTGGCGCTAGTAACATATGTTGGGCAGTTTAGGTAGTGCAATGTTATTCGTGTACAATATATATGGTTCAATCCTATGTGGTGGGCTCTAGGTTGCGCAATCTGCTGTGTGCAGTACATGTGCAATGCGTTGCGTGCGATATCTGGTGTGCAATAGATATTGTGCAACATAGGTTGTAAATTCTGTTGAGTCCACTCCATGTAGTGACATCAATCCTGTTCATTTTATGTCGTGCAACCTGCGTAGTGCAATCTGTGGTGAAAGCTACATTGCAATCTATGTGAAGCCGTATATGTGATGCAATACATGTGTGTGTTGTATTTTGAGTGGTGCACTCTATGTAGTGCAATCGATGTAGCGCACTACACGTGGTGCAACCTATATTGTACAATATATGTGGTACACGCTAGGCGGTGCAATTCACTTGCTCAACTTGAAGCTGTCCTCTCCACTGCTCGTGCAAACATCACACCCTCCCACCCGCAACTTGGTCGCACGACCTCGTAAGACCATGAAGGTAGGTACCAAATAGCACTTGGCAACGACACCGACGCCGACGACTCGCCAGCGACACCGACTACGACGACACCGACGACGTCTTCAACGACTTCGACTACGACGACGACGACGACGGCGACGCCGACGCCGACGACGACGATGACAACGCCGACGACGACGCCGACGACGACGACGACGACGAAGACGACGACGACTACGACGTCGCCAACGAAGACGACGACGATGACGAGGGAGGAGGGAGAGCGACGACGGCGATAACGACGACAACCACGAGGGAGGAGGGAGGACGGCGACGACGCGAACGAGGGAGGAGGGAAGACGACGACGACGACAAAATAGGAGGGACGACGACGAGACGTCGACGACAGACGACGACGACGACGAGGGAGGAGGAAGGACGACAACGGCGACAACGACGACGGAAACGACGACGACGCCAAAGAAGATGACGACGACGAGGAAAGACAGAGGACGACGACGGCGACGACGACGACGACGACGAGGGAGGGAGGACGGCGACGACGACGACGACGACGCAAAAGCGCGTGCGTACGCTTTTGTGGATGATCCGTGTTGCGAAACCGTGTGTCCTCGTACGTTTTTGGACACTGGATTTTGAAGTCCTTCTGAAACCGACGGTTATTGAAGGATTCCGGCATGCGCGCGCGACGACGCGCGCGCGTGCACTTCGTCATTTTTTGTGCAGAGGATTCTCGCAACGGCACGCGCGCAAGGGCGTTCGAAAGATTTCGACAGGCGCGCGCGCGAAGCCCGTTTGGTAGTACTTTTGAAAATCTTGCAACTCAGATGGTGTTCCCAAAATTTCGCAAGAGCGCGCGCTCAATCTTTTTTAGGAAATGAGTGTTGCGAAACCGTGTGTTTTGGTATGTTTTTTTTTGGAAACTCGATTCTGACATCCTTCCAGAACCGAAGTCTTTTGACGGATTCCGGCATGCGCGCGCGACGACCCGCGCGCGTTCTATTCGATATGTTTCCCAACCATCCTGTGGTGTTGGGTCCTCGTTTTGAAGAGACGTCGCCCCGCGTTCTCCTCCTCCTCTCCTCTCCTCCTCCCCCTCCTCCCCGCTCCCAACATCATCATCGTCATCATCATCATCATCATCATCATCATCATCATCATCATCATCATCATTATCATCATCATCATCATCATCATCATCATCATCATCATCATCATCATGGCACTCATCATCACCATCATCGCATGCGTCAGCCACACCCACTTCGGCGCATCCCTCACACGCTTCGTGGCTCCATAGGGAGCTCCACCGAAGGCCCCAGTGCCACCGTCCACATGCGTCCCCCCCCACCCACTTCGGCACACCCCTCACACGCTTCGTGGCTCCATAGAGAGGTCCACCGAAGGTCCCAGAGCCACCGTCCACATGCGTGCCCCCATCCACTCCGGCACACCCCGCACACGTTTCGGGGCCCCATAGGGAGCTTCACCGAAGGCCTCAGTGCCACCGTCCATGCGCCCCCCCACCCACTTCGGCACACCCCTCACACGTCTCGTGGCCCCATAGGGAGCTCCGCCGAAGGCCCCAGTGCCACCATCCACATGCGTCCCCCCGCCCATTTCGGCGCACCCCTCACACGGATCGTGGCCCCATAGGGAGCTCCACCGAAGGTCCCAGTGCCACCGTCCACATGCGTCCCCCCCCACCCACTTTGGCACACCCCCTCACACGCTTCGTGGCCCCATAGAGAGCCCCACCGAAGGCCCCAGAGCCACCGTCCACATGCGTCCCCCCCATCTATTTCGGCACACCCCTCACACGTTTCGGGGCCCCATAGGGAGCTTCACCGAAGGCCTCAGTGCCACCGTCCACATGCGTCCCCCCCGCCCGCTTCGGCACACCCCTCACACGTTTCGTGGCCCCATAGGGAGCTCCGCCGAAGGCCCCAGTGCCACCATCCACATGCGTCCCGCACACCCGTTTCGGCACACCCCTCACGCTTGGTGGCCTCATAGGGAGCTCCACAGAAGGCCCCAGTGCCACCGTCCACATGCGTCCCCCCGCCCACTTCGGCACACCTCTCACACGCTTCGTGGCCCCATAGAGAGCCCCACCGAAGGCCCCAGTGCCACCGTCCACATGCGTCCCCCTCACCTACTTCGGCATACCACTCACACGCTTCGTGGCCCCATAGGGAGCTCCACCGAAGGTACCAGTGCCACCGTCCACATGCGTCCCCCCCACCCACTTCGGCACACCCCTCACACGTTTTGTGGCCCCATAGGGAGCTCCACCGAAGGCCCCAGTGCCACCGTCCACATGCGTCCCCCCCGCCCACTTCGGCACACCCCTAACACGTTTCGTGGCCCCATAGAGAGTTTCACCGAAGGCCCCAGTGCCACCGTCCACATGCGTCCCCTCCACCCACTTCGGCACATCCCTCACACGCTTGGTGGCCCCATAGGGAGCTCCACCGAGGGCCCCAGTGCCACCGTCAGCATGCGTCCGCCACATTCAAGGTTTCAGGGAACAGCTCCTGACCTCAGGGGAGGAGGAGGAGGCGGAGGAGGAGGAGGAGGAGGCCCGCTCCCCCAATGCACGTGGATATTGCTTTGCATTCGGGGGAGGCTCCATTCCACCAGCGGGGGTCTTTCCAGTGTTCTCGCTGTGGTCGCCGTAAACGAGTGGCACAGTTCGCATGCGTCCCCGCCACTCATGTCGGCACACCCCTCACACGCTTCGTGGCCCCATAGGAGCTCCGCCGAAGGTCCCAGTGGCACACTTCGCATGCGTCCCCGCCACTCATGTCGGCACACCCCTCACACGCTTCGTGGCCCCATAGGAGGTCCGCCGAAGGTCCCCGTGGCACAGTCCGCGTGTGACCCCTCCCGGGCGACCAGCGCGCGTCGCGGGGACTCCGTGCTGCGTTCTGCCCAGCGCCTCGCTCGCCCGTCGTCGCTCTGCCCAGCGTCAAGAGCCTTGCCCGCTATCAGCCAGCCAGCTAACTCTTTTTGCTCCGCGCAGCAGACGACCCGCGCGCGTCGCTGGGACCTCTCCGGGGCGACTTGCGCGCGTCGCGGGGGCTCCGCGCTGCGCTGCGCCCGCAGCCTTGGACTTTTGAGTGCGCGGGCAAAGAGGGAGTAAAAGACGGGGAGGAAGCGGGCGCGATCCTCGCGGGGGGGCGCGCCGACATCGGCGTCGCGGCGCGCGGGCGATGCCGTCGGGGAGTCCCGCGGAAGCTCCTTGCGGCGGCCACGCCCAGCGTCACGAGTACTCAGAGGCAGTCGTTCTCAAACTGTTGACATTCATATTCAATTACACCATGCTGTGTCATACTCGCATTCATGCACGGAGACTCGCTCGCACGCAGATTCATTCACAGTCAGACGCACTTTCGCTCAGATTCACCCGCGCTCAATCTACGTGCTCAGATCAATCGATTTCGTTCGCCTTGTGCGCCACGCCATTCATGTCGGCACACCCCTAGCGCGATTCGTTGCCTCATAAGGATCACCGCCGAAAAAGTGAATCACAATTGCGGCATTCACACCTGCATATGGCTGGGTCTTTCGTCAGGCAACTTTTTGCACATGGATTCTTGGCAACCTGTGGTTTTCATAAACGAGTGTGCGCGCAAATGGTTTTTGCAGAGGATGGCGGGGGGGGGTCGATTCCGGCTTAGTTGGGGCAGTGTAAATTCACGGGTAGGATGGACATAGGGTCAGAATCTTGTGTGTTTTGCATCGGTTCCCGGGGGATTTTTAACCCCGGGGGGGGAGGATGGCATATTCTTTTTGACGTTCGAATGAAAAGGAGAATGTACGCAGTCCGATTGGTTGTATGCAGTTTAAGTGGTGCAATATGTGTGGTGCGCTTTCTTTTGTGCAATTTCTATCGAATGGCCTTCGGCCCATCCCGCCACCGTGCCTGGGTTCTGGGTCAGAGTCCTCATGGATACTTCTTGGTCTCTCTTTTGGGCGTTCTCGCGGCCTTCTCGGGGCCCGTCCTGAATCCCTTTAGGAACCTCTTGGGAACCCCTTGGGGGCCTGTGGGGGGCCTGTTGGGGCCTCCTGGGGGCCTCTCGGGGCCGAGGGCTCGAAATGTCCGTTCGGGTCCCCGCCAGGGTTCCCCCTTGGAGCCATATTGGGGGCCTCTTAGGTCGTGTTGGAGGCCTCTTGGGCCGTCTTGGGGCCCTCTTGAGCCGTTTCGAGGCCTTGTTGGGGGCCTTTTGGGTCGTCATGGGGCGTTTTTGCGGGCCTCTTGGAGCATCGGTAAGCCAAAAGGGCAAGAACGCAACAAATTTTCAAACATCTAATAAGGAATATCACTGATCTGTGCCTCTTGGGGCCCTCTTGGGAGGCCACTTGGGGCGTCTTGGAGGCATCTTGGGCCGTCTTGAAGCAACCTTTGGTGTCGTGGAGCGATCTTTCGGCGACGAGGGGCCTTTTTGGACCGTCTTATTGGCCTCTTGGGGTGCTCTTGGCCCGTCTCAGGAACCCTTCGGGTCCGAACAAGTCATGTGGCAACACGCGGCGCGCCCCAGGAGATTTGGCCATCTGGGGTCCGGACCCTTTAGGAGCTTCAGCATTGAGACATGAGGCTTGCAAGATTCGGCCCTTTTTAATTTATTAAGGGCTACGCGCCACTGGCGCGCCGGCGGAAGCAAGGCCACCAGCACGCCTACATCTGTGCAGCCTCGACCTGAAGACACTCCAACTCATGGCACGGTGGCGGGTATGTGAAGCAATCCGTGTGATCTCCGACTTCAAACATACGTGGTGCAATCTATGTGG